TGCGCCCCAGTGACACCGCCACCAGGTGCTGCCCACGCCTGGGCGGGAGGCGGGGTCCTGACGCCCCGGGGGGACCCTCTCTGAGTTGGGGTTGATGTCCTTCAGCTCGGGTGTCGCCGTGCGGCGGGTCTGAGGCCTGTGCCCTCCCTCAGGTACAAGAAGAACCTGAAGGCTCTCTACGTGGTGCACCCCACCAGCTTCATCAAAGTCCTGTGGACCGTCTTCAAGCCCCTCATCAGGTACCGCCTGCTGGCCCGGCCACGGCCACACTGCCCCCCAGGGTCCCCGCGACCCTCCTATCACTCGGTGAGCGGGTGCACCCATACATGTGCTCACACGTGCGCACACACACACACACACTCACACACACACACACAGACTCACTCACACACAAAGACACACACTCACAGACACACACACACACTCACACACAGACTCACACTCACGCACACACATACACACACACACACACAAACACATACACTCAGACACACATACAGACAGACACACACGCACACGCACACACGCACACACACGCAGGAGGACACAAGGAAGCCGGGGAGGCAGTGGATGTGCTGGTCACACACACACACGCACACACACACACACACGCAGGGGGACACGAGGAAGCCGGGGAGGCGGATGCGCTCGCCACCTTGACTGTGGAGACGGTGTCACGGGCACGCACCGTCCACACTCACCCGACTGCAGGTGAGCGAGGGCCGTTCTGTGTCAGTCAGTCATGCTTGAGGAAAGCTGTACAACCTGCAGCTCAGCCCTGGCTGGTGTGGCTCAGTGGTTGAGCGTCGACTCATGAGCCAGGAGATCATGGTCCGATTCCTGGTAAGTGCACAGGTTATGGGTTCAATCCCCAGTCGGGGCACATATGGGAGGCAATCGATTGATATTTCTCCATCAGTGCTTTTCTGCGCCCCCCCCCCATCCTTTCGAAAATCCATTTAAAAAAAAGTATACATGGGTGAGGATTTGTTTTTTACGTTAAAAAAGAAAATGAGTGGTCACTTGCCAGGAGCGGGTGCTGGGCTCACACGGTGCCCCTCCTGTGCCCTCCCCACTTTGCAGCTCAGGGCACCGAGGCTCATTGATCACGGTGGACACAGGGAACAACATTGTAGTAACTGTGTGCGGGCTGGGTGGGCGCTGGATTCATCAGCGTCACTTCCTACAGCCCCCAAGTGTCTGGTCACGGTTGTACACCTGACGCTAAGAATAGAGTGTGTCAACTGTAATGAAAAATAAAATTTATTTTAAAAAAGAAATGAGAAACATAGCACTGGGCACTGGGTGGTGCCTGCCTGGTGTGGCCGTGGGCTGGGTGCCACGGTTGCCTCCAGAGGGAGAAGCCGTTCCCAGGGGCGAGGACGCCCAGGGCTTGTCTGGCCTGTGGCCGTGCTGGCTCCACTGTGTCCCCAGGGCCACTGCGTCCTGGGGAGAATCCAGAGAGGACTCGGACTGGTCCCCGCCCTCAGGGGAGAGGAGGTGGCCGGTGGGAAGCCACCACTGACCGGGCAGCCTCGGGCCCTTCCCGCACCCCCACGCCCTCCCCGTGCCCGCAGCTCTGCGCCTGGTTTAGGAGGTGTCAGCGGTCACATTCAGTGGAACATGCATGCTGACCGCCCAGCCCGCGCCCTCCCCGCGCCCGCAGCTCTGTGGCAGCCTAATGTTCCCATCTCCTTCTTCTGCACTTTTAGTCACAAGTTTGGGAAAAAAGTCACCTACTTCAACTACCTGAGCGAGCTCCGTGAGCACCTCAAATGCGACCAGCTGGCCATCCCCCCGGAAGTCGTGCGGTGAGTCGCACCCCATCCCATGCGATCTCAGTCCCGTCCCCTCTTCGTGTCCAGCGAGTACCGGCCAGCCTGGCGCGGACCAGGGCAGGTGCTGCCGCGGG